CTCCTACCACTACTACCACCACTACCACTACCACCACCACCACCACCACCACCACCACCACCACGACTACTACTACTACTACTACTACGACGACGACGACGACGTTGCTACTACACGCGACGACGACGACCACCACCAAAACGACTGCTACTAGCACAAGTACTGCTACTACTAGGCATATTAACGACAACGACAGCTTTCTACTCGTATTTCTCTACTGTACTAAGGATGCTACAATACTACTATATACAGCACTTTGCAGCCAAACTACTGTACTACACGCCTACACCACTACTACGACAAATTACCACTACGACCACGACCACGACTATGACTGCAGCTATTCCTTCTTCTATGACGGCGAAGGCTGCTACTACTTCTACGTCTACTTCTAGACTGTGACAGATACCCGGTGCGTTATCTCCATCTTCTGCTTCCAGAAAGTTTCAGGCTCTTCGCATGTGAGCCGCGAGGCCCGCCACAGTCAGTTGTACCAATGCTGAAAACCTTGTACTAATGCCGGAACCCTTGAGACCATTCAGCCGGCCTAAGCTTCCTGAGGCATCCACCCAGACTGAAGGTACCCATATCGCCGGCTGCCGTCCTAAAGCAAAAAGTCGTTGAGACTGGGCGAAACCATTTCCTCGTCCTCTTAGTGCACTACACAGGATTCCCTCAGCTCTATTGGTATGCTCAAAATCAGACAAATCAATCATTCCTATCCATGTGCGTGCACGCACATACAAACTGGAATGCACGGACCCGTCTCGCATTCCTGTTTTCTTGTCTGGCTGCCATGATGAACATACCGGGCTTGGCACAGTCTCCCAGAATAGCCATCCAACAGCGGACCGATGCCTCAAGTTAACCGGCACTCTGTGTTCGGACAGGCGTGATCGCAATTTGCCACGTCCTCAAGAACTCCGAAACGTGCTGATAATGCTCGGCCGAAGAGAAGACTGATACTCCACGTATCTATCCAACGGCCACTGGCTCAAGCGCAAGCCCGAGCCTCTGGCCTGTGACTATCCCTCCCGTGCACCCGCGCAGCCGCATCTCAGGCTTGGTTCCAGTCTGGACACGAGCAATCACATTGCTCCGGGATCATTCGGAGGCACACAGTAGTAGTTCAGACAATGGTTCAGTGCAGGAGTGCTGTTTACTACTCATGGGGATCTAACAATAGGCTACGGCACTGCCCCTTCATGTTCATGTCTTGTCTATGATTGTACTGCTCCTTTGGTATTCTATCGTGCTTCTGGGTGGTGCTATAGCGTTCTGCTGCGACAAGTTGTGCACCGAGACTGCGAAGCAACGAACCTTGGATGTCAAGTTGTGCGAATGCACCAATATGTGTACAACGTTATAACTCAATTTGATCCGTTACGTCACTGCAAGCCTAACACCTGTTGCATCTTTACACAGAGTGTCTCTGTCTAGAGTCTTCAACCTATGTCTGTACGCTCGAGCACGTACCATATGTTCCTCTTGTTGCCTCGGGGTCGCTCCACCACCGCCCTAGATCCGTCGCTCAAAGCTGATGGGCGGACTCTTGGTTTGGGACATTTCCCTTCTAAGAGTCAATGTTAGAACCTGCTCCGCGCAGACAGGCCTTCACCACGACCAGATCACCAGCAGCGAGTGGCTTCGTGGTGGGAAGGTCCACGAGCTGACATTTCACGCCAGTCGCAGACCCGTTCGAAACATATTCGTGAGCGTTTCTGAGGCAACTGCCACGTCGCAGGGGCCCTTCATGAAGCAGGTCTCGGACGAGCACCACAGTAGACTCCACTGCGAAGCAACGGCCGTTTGCCAATCATGGTAATCGTGTTGTTACCATGCAGCTGGGAGACCACTGCAAGGTCAGCCTCCAGGCGCGCCTTGGCTGAAGGATCCGAGCAACAAGGATGCCCGGGCACAGCGGGGCGGAGTGCCACCGTGACTGGTTAAGTTCCCGACAAGGGAAACATACCTCGCGAGTTGAAGCTCTTTGGCAGCCTTGCACACCTTGCATCTTGGGCCATGGCCCAGCAAGGATCGTGAACTCCGCAGGTCTGTTGGGATCGCAATTGGAAAGCCGGCTGCACCTCCGACACAGGTTTGCCCCCGCACATCGACAAGGCCAAATTTGCTGCAGCACTGGAAAGCCACACTTAGGCCGGCACCAGCACAGCCTCACTCAAGTAACATTCGAAGGGCAGGGACATGCAATGGCATCCCGCACCCTGCAGGCACTGCTGCCCCTTTCGATTCCCTGAGGTCTTTGAAGATTACGTGGCTCAGAGTTGTTCTCCACAGAATTAAGCGGTGCTATAGGCAACTTTACAGCTCCCTGCTCCGAAGATGCTGGGCTCCAGATGGAGGGAGCTTGAGAATGGCACCCTTTCCGAAGACCACGGCGAGCGATTGGCTGTCACCGACAGGGGACAACGAAAAGGTACCATTCTGCAAATGATGCCCATCACATGCAAGCACAAACGTAAACGCCGGCTACATCCATGCTTGCGTATGCAGATTGGATCCCGAAGGATTGGGACACCGACAAGAGAAACTCCACGACTGCAAGGCAGCTAGCGGATGCGGATGCGGTAGCTCGACGGCTAGATTCCTTTCTTGTGCAAAGGCTTCTGAGGCCGCCGCTTTGCTATCATGCCTTCCGTCGGCATCACCGGCGCGGGATCGAAAATACCAGGATTGTCCGGCAGGTCCTGTCTGCCGCGGGAAAATGACAAAACATCCCTCCACAGGGGCACTGCTTTGTGCTCTCTTCGTCGGCAAGCATCCGACTGAGTGGGCACAAGTTTGTGAGCACTGAAACGAGTCTGCAATCACGCAATACTGCATGTCTCTCTGTGCGCTTCGCCTATTTGTCTGTTTGTCTACTGGGCCAGTCTATAGCAATCGTAAACTGATTCTGATCAAGATTCCAAGCAGTCCTAAAGGACTTCAATCTGCCAGGTCTGACCCAGCTGTCTAACACAGTTAGGGTTACTTTCGTCTGAAATTATTTGATATTAATGTGTCCTGACAATATCGCCCACCTGAGAATTTTACGATGCCATTTATCTACATGTCTGTCTTACCCTAGCTACCTGTGCAAGCGAGTGCATATCCCTTGCACAACCTCCAATCGTGCCGGTGCGGAGGGAGGGAGGGACGGAGGGAGGGAGAGAGAGAGAGAGAGTAGAGAGACAAACGGAGGCAGGTTTGCAGGGAGGTACGAGCTTGACCTCTCAAGCACACATTCGATGCTAGCCCCATTGAATGTTGCAAGCCATCCCGAAACCTGTGGACCCGACAAAATGCTTGCACAATGTTCGGTTGCAGTGAGACACCCCCTTTCCGTGAACCGTTCGATCCTCCGTCTCAAATCGGTACCATGTGCCACCTGCCACAGCAGTGGAAACCACGGACAAACTGTTGTATCTGGTAGCAGTGACAACGCGAACCAGGTACCCTCTGACCCATCCTACATGCCAAGGCTACTGCAGGCGCGCCGACGGTTTTTTTGCCAGACGTGGGGACAAGCCATCCCGCCCCCTCGTTCTAAAGTGCGCTGCACCTCTGGACAAAATCAACATACAGTCATGATGGGTGGGGGAGAGGGGTATGCTCATGCCTCTAAGTACACTAACCGCGAACTCCGGCACCGAGGCAGCAAGATTGCTTCCGATTGCAAGGCCGAGAACTGTCATGCGTTTACTCGTCCTGAGTTTGTTCAACGAGAACAACTGCTCCCGGCTCGGCTTCGAAAACCACAAACAGATAGAAACAGAGGCCCGAAGCATGGAGCAAAAGAACATGGCCGTAGGAACGGCGCATACATCACACTTCTTGAAGCTTTACTGGTGCACCTGCATTCTTCTTCCTGCATGGAGGAGAGACGCCGTGCCAGCTCGGATGTAAGATGAGCAAGGGATAAGAACTACCAATTACATTGCATGAATGGGTCTTCCGACATATGAGGCGAACCCAGCCCGCACTGCCTTGATGTACACCAGCCAAATCTCTGGCATCGGGTGATCGACCTTTGCGCAGGGTTAGGCACGGCCGGGGCCAGCGCTCTGTCAGGCATGCTAGCTACTGCAAGCATAACATGTCAGCGAACCGTTTTGTGCACTAACAAGCTCGGATACAAGTCTCCCGTCTTATGGTTTCGAAGTAGCCAGAAATGCAAAATCCCCTGCTGGATCCTCATCCTAGAAGTGCAAATCCCGCAGAAGCCTGACTGCTTCGTAAAAGATACTTTTATACCTTCGGATGATGCTCGGGTCCACACTTGTCAGGACTCCATTGTTTGGCAGACCCGGAATCTCAGCAAACGGCCGGACAGGAGTGAGGACAATGGGTTTGCGAACTCTTCTCAAGGCTTTTTTTGGGGTGGGATTGCAGGGTCTTCTGCGCAGCACGTGGCGGGCATGAATCAAAGGTTGAGGCTTACCTGCTAGCTCTCGACCAGTTCTCATCCACACGAGTGCCGTGCTAGGTCCTAAGTTGTGTAAGCTTGACTGACAGCCCATTCATCCGCCAAGGCTTGCAATTTGCACGAGCACGTGCGCGGGCAGGGGCCTGATCAGAGTGCCAACTTTGCACTTGCTCCGATGCCCCGTGCACCGGGAAAGCACACACTCACCGCATTGCACCGCCTTCATCCCGGTTGCACCAGATCAGTGCAAACTTATCCCAAATTCCAAATGGCACTCAAGTCAAAAGACTTGCCAAAAAAACAAACTGAGTTCAAACCACACCGCCAGCGACAGCTGTGCTTCTTGGCTTTGTGCAAATCCTTCAAGAGCATCGGTTCAGACAACCCTGCCCATCCTATCCCCGTAGACGAAGCAATGCAGAAGTGAAGGAGCTGAGGCCCCGGCAGAACCAGCCAGGCCGCAGAACTCACCGGTTTGGAGCATGATCATGTCCCCTGCCTGCATGGGCCCTCGTTTGCCCAGCCACTCAGGTCCGTTTAAGTCCGTTTGGCAAGCTTGGGATGTTCCTTCGAGCTATAGTAGCAAGACGCAACGTGGTCGAATTTGCAAATTTACTCATCACCGTGGCTTCCACCGCACACTATTCTGACCGGCTGCAGGCCGTGCCTGAAGACCCACACCTCGGAAGCCTTCGATGATGCAGGTCTTGATCTCCGAGAGAGGCCAGCTCCTCTGTGACATTGACATGGCCACTCCACATTTGCTCAGAAGCACATTCGATCGAGGCTGGGGCAGCAGGGACACCTCGCAAACCGCATAATGGTCGCTCTCAGCACCTTCAGCTCGAGCTAGGAGTCTCATCCATACAGTATCCCGATAGCAGTGGGGAGAGCACCAGCCACGACAAATCGTAGAAGCTCGGTTGCAAAGGCACCATCCACATTGCAGCATTCCTCGGCTTTTCTGGGTGGCCGTCAAAAACCCCTAGCTGTGCATACATCCGATTCCGCCGAAATCTGAGCCCCACGCACCGAAGCCGCCGCAAAAGCATGCACGGTAGGATCCGGGCTGCCTTGCATCCGATTCAGGCTCTAAGAGTTCACAAGCAAGCAACACAGTCCAACGGAAAGCAACAGGGCAACAGACCAAGTCGGCTCCCAACAAATCAAGGCCATGTTGCCAGTTTGCCCTTCCCCATCTAGTAGTTAGTAAGAACAAGAAGAAGGGGTGGTGGTGGCGGTGGTGGTGGTGGTGCCAGTGCTAGCACTATAGTGATTGCACTTGTAGTAATGCTACATTCTCCACTTTGGGCAGTGTTGGTCTCGGCACCGGGCATTGCTGCGAAACCTGTCCAGGTCGAAGAGCCTGGGGTCAACATCTAATGTCTTTTTACATGGTATACTGTATATGTTAAAACCGTGCAAACTTTCATAAGCGAACTGCAGACTCTCATCATGTTCGATGCAGGCTTTTGCTGTGATGAGCTTCCAGCTGCTTGTGCCAGACTCCCGTTGGCCGTGAGTTGGACCTGATGGCCAGGCCAGGCTGGAAGGCTCAAGCGAAAATTCACTGACACAGCAAGGCCTGCCTTGAACCTTTAGCGTGGCCACGGAGCTGTAGGCATCTGGGCGGAGCTGGTCTTCAAGCTGTGTTGGTCTCTGCAGCTCTTTGCCGTTGCAGTGCTAGGTTCCAAGCCACCGCACGCTGCTACCTGAGTGATCACATGGCGTGATGACACATTGCCATTGTAACAGCCATGATACCGGTGGTGCCGAGTGGTTCAAAGGTTCCAGGGCACTTTAGGGAATCCATTCATGTTTTGGTGCAAGAAATGGAACCACACCTCGTCACTCTCCACAATCTTCATGCGATCTTCGTCCTTGACAGGCTCAGGTGGAGGTCATCCAACCCATCAAATGACCATACATTCTCCCCGTCGCACGCAACAACGAGCTCCTGTAGGAATGGCGCATTGATCGTGAATCCGAAGACTGATCTGAGCTTGTACTCCTGTCTGACACGGTGTGGCGAATGATTAGTCTTCGTCTTCAACAGAGGAGAGGCAGGGAAACCACGCCAACCCGGGCCTCTTGCCGACCTGAAGGGATGTCAAAGCCTCGAGTGTCCCAGACCTCAAGAATCGCGAACGCAGAGGTTAAGGCTCGCGGACATCAAGGCTGAGAACAGCTGAAGATGGTAGCCGGACATCTATTTCTGATCTGAACTTGAAAGCATTTGCACCAGCGTTTGCACCATGGAAGCCCCTCCCAGGACCAATGATGAAGCCCGAACATGCTCGTGACTGAGTAAAATCCCCCGAAGCGTTGGCAAACAGGGTTCTTGCGTTCCGTCTTGCAGGGGCAGCGGCGCCGGAGCTTACCAGACCTAATCCTAATCGCAACCTCTCAGCTTCCATCAAAGGCAAGCAAGAGCTGAAGCTGCCCATTGAGCGGGCACATGCCACGCCCAGCGTCTGTGAACTTGTCGAGCAAACACTTCGGAGAGGCCACTGAAGTCAGCGACCCCACATCGTCTGAGAGAAGGGCTGCCAGCGCACCGTTGTATGCTGCGCTTGATGCAACGAGCTCCTGTGATCACACGATCTGACATAGCAGGCTGTGGTTACTCAGTCGAGAGCTGGCTCAAAATGTCACGTCTAGAGTACTGTATGTTCTCTCAGTGCATGCTAGGCCCAGGACAAGGCGGTCAGGAGCAAGGGTCACCGCCTCAAAAAAACGAAGTTAAAAAGGGCTCTTGCGCGTATCCTTTCGGCGACTACCGCACATGGTCGCTTTGGGGCTTCCACCGTCAGCAGATTCAATGCACTACACTGCATCACTGAATCACTGCGTCGATCTTAAACCCAAAACAGGGCAAGAACGGCCTTCGATGCTGCTGGGTCCACCTGTCATGCGCATAAGCAACCTGTGAGGCTACAAGCGGCTACAACATGCCAGGAGGGCTTCGGACGACCCAGGCCGGACTGTTTCGGTGTATGCTGTGGTCGATTTCTGGAGATGAAGATCGTGAGACGCGGTTCGCGAGTGCGAGGATCAGGTGTTCTGATCCCTGCATTTCGAGCTGACCTGCCTCAAGCCGTTGCTCGGTTCGGAACCACAGGGTGCAACTTAGCTGCTTTGAGTTAGGGGGACAGTCCGCCACTCCGACCCAGGACCCGAACCAGAAGATGGATATCGTTATCTGCCTTGGGTCCTTATCGGAGCGGAAGGGACTGCGAGACGAAGTGGAAGGCAAAAGGCTCTGAAGGCTCTGGGCCAGAGACAAAGGTAGGACGCAGGCGGCTCCCCACGAGAGGCTTCGCCTTTGGCCGCCGTATCTTCACATTGCTCGCACTCCGATCGGGGAGCATCAGCCTCGCAAACAAGTGGTCCTCTAGCTTCAATGCATCGACGACGGAGCAGCCACGACAGCCTGGATTTGACCAGCTCAGATCTCTATCACCGCTCCGCTCACAGAGTTGGCACCGGCCGTTCTCCACCGCAAACTTCCCAGCCTCTGCCTTCAGAAGATCCTCAACCGGCAGCACCTGATTGGGCGGCTCCCGTGCCATCGGCTTGAAGGCCGAGGCCACATGCGACGTCAACGCATCCGGGTCCACACGACTCCGAGCAGATGCAGCTGCCGCTGGCCCGCCCGGCGCCACAGGCGCCTTCGGCGTGCTGCCTCTGCTAGCTGCTGTCGGCCCGGTAGGAAGGTCCTCATCGCTGGAACTGTCCATCTTCTTGACTGTGACATTGGTCACGTCGTGTATGGCGCGCACCACCACAGACGCCTTGCCAAGCTGCCGAACAGCATCCCTGACCGAGCTCCGGGTTTTCTGCCGGTTGACATTCATCGCTGCCTCTCGTGTGATCCTCCCGGGAAGCATTTTGGGCGCCATCGGCTGCTGCTTACCACGACGTCTCACTACCTTCTTGTTGCCTGGCCCAGCATGCGGCTGCAAGATCGTCTGGCCGGTCAGCTTTTGCCGCGGTGGTTCCTCCCATCGAGACAGGGGCAGCTTCTTCACCACAGCCTCTGCTCCACGAGGTTCTGGTGAACCGGGCTCTGTCTCAGCTGGGCCAAAGTCGTCCAAGCCCTCATGCATCTGCGTGGAAACGAGCCGGAGGTAAGCAACCAGCCACGAGATCTTGTAGAGAGAAGAGCTGCTCTGCTGGACACCATTGCCATAGAAGCCCAGGTACAGGAACACGATTCTGCAAAGCGTCTCGGTGAAGGCCGGAACTTCAAAGGCCGTGTCGCACTCCAAGGCTTCAGAGTCCTCAGTCAATGCCGATGAGATTGTGGAGTCTGTGCCTTTGAACTTGTCCTCGTCCTTGCCCGAATGGGCGTGGCTAACTGGGTCAGGACTGGCGGAAAGCTGCTTGAGCTTTGGTTGCGATGGCGTGGGGCTCGCACTACTATTTGGCTTCTCCCTCCGTGCCCCAGCCCTGCTCTTCGAGGGCGTAGACTCCGCAGCCCTTCGCTTGGTCTTGGGAACCTCAGGTAAGATGGGCCGGGGAGGCAGCAAAGTGAAGCACTCGGTAGTCTCGTAAGCCCTGCGCAGCTGCTGCTCCGTTACCAGCTGCGGCGAGATGTGAAAGTCCACACAAAACTGCCAAAAGTCCATCCACTGCATCTGCCCCGATGGAGCATAACACTCGAAGAGAGTGCTAAAAACATCGCGGTAGAAGTGAACCACATGGAGAACTTCGGGTTCAACGAGCATGGACGTGACGAGGCGTTCCCGGCAGGCCAGGTCTCTTTCCACCATGGATTTCCAGACCTTCACGTGGGGCTGGTTCTTGCCCTTTTCCTTTTCAGCCTTCTCATGCTCATCCGTGGACTCGCGGCGCTCCGAGCCCTGGGCCTTCGAATTCCTGTGGATATGTTTGCCTGGCTCTCCATGGCTCGCATCTACAGACTCGCGGCGCTCGTGGGATTTCTCTTTGGAGCGTTCATCCCGCTGTTCGGCTTTGTGTTCGTGGTTCGCTTTGGTCATGCCTGCCACGTAGGCATCGTCGTAGATCCTGAGCTTCTTCGCCCCTTGCTTCATGCGATCCACGAACTCGTATCTGTCGATGGCCTCGTAATGCTGCCGAGCGATGATATCCAGCAGCGAGATAAGCCGGAATCGGTTCACCTCAATCAGAAACACCGGGGGCTTTTGTTTCTACAGCCACGACTTCTGATTGAAGCGTATGCTTAACCTCGGAGAGGTTGTCCAATGAAATTCCGAACACAATCAGATTAAATCTGATGGCACCCGACATTTTCATTGCACAACCTCCCCGAGCTTAATGAATAAAGTAATGAGCTGATGAGTTACACTGCAACATGCGAACGCTTCGAAAGTTCAAGCGATCTAAGCACGTGGACTCTGAAGACACCTCGGCAGCTCAACTGAGGCCTGCACGATAGACTGGACAGGTGCAGTGGGGGCATGGTGTGCTTGCGGAGGGCAGATTCGGCAAGGCTGTGCCAAGCTGTCAAACAAGGACACGGCCCAGAAGTAGGGGACCGCAACCTGATCCACAAGCTCCACCTCCAAGAGCAATCGGCAGAAGGTGGGCCGGTCCATGCCCATGCCCATGGCAAACGAGGGCCCTCGTGTAGACACACACCATCTGGAAAGACATCGAGATAAGACCAGCACCTCTGCATGGGTAAAGAGCCAACACATCTGAGATCCTTCGATGAAGTGGTTATCCGCCAGGAAGCCGTTCTGTCGCTCGATCGACTGCTTCTCAGCCTGCTCCTGCTCCTCCAGAAGGTCGACAGGTACCAGGCTCTTCACCTCCACGCTTTTGGGCAGGAGAGACTCGAAGTTGGGGATCTCCGAAAAGAGGAGGCCGAGACGCCTCTCGTCGACTTCGGCGGTCCTCAAGCGCTCCTCATCTCGGACCTGCAGAAGGAGGAGCTCGGCCTTCTGCTGCGTGATCAGCAAATCCCGGGCCCTCGCCTCGGAGGCGGCCAGGAAGGCCTTGGAGCTGCCTAAATCGCTAAGCCCGCTGAGCTCCTTCAAGTCCCCTTGCGAGTGCGAGTCCTCAAGGAGTGCCTTACTCTCACCTTTCTCCCTTTCATCGCTTGAGTGAGACGTGCCCTGGAAATCGCTCAGCTCCGCATACTCGTGAAGGTTGGAGGTAGATCCGAAGGTGGAGCCCACTTGGGCATTCTGCTTGGCTGCGAAGCTGATGCTCAACCTCTTGAAATGGGGACCACCATGGCAATCGAAGAAATCGCTCAGGCGCAGCTGCGAGAGTTGACTCTTCAAGCGATGGTTCCGAATGATGTCTGCCTGCATCAGCCATGCCGCAGATGAGCCCCACTCTTGCCTTAGCTGGTTTCGACTGGAACCTTAGACAAGCGAAGGACCTAGCAAGGAAAGAGCAGCCCAGCGGCGCAGTGATCTGCAAAGCCGGACAGCTGGCGACTGTCGAAGTGCTGATGTTAAAGTGGCCAGCATCCAAGTCATCAGCTGCTTCTTCGGCCCGGGTCTCTGGGGGCCTCTGCACTGGTTTCTGAATTCGTGCGCTCTGCGGGGTTGCCGGCAAGGAAAGCCGGACTCCAGGCTCCTTGGTGCCGAACGCTGCCCGAGCTGTCTGTTGCTTTGGCGCCTCTCTTGGACCAAGCTTGAGGCTCGGCAAGAATCCCTGCTGCCCATTACTCATGGCTGGTCATGAGCTGGTCATTGAGTCGTTTTAGCTCATGACCTGCAGGTCTCGGCTTCCACGCCAACTACCGCCAACCACGGAAGTCTTAGCCTATCGACCCTGGGATCTAGAAATCATCCTGGATGCCAGCGCTTGTCTCTGGTTCAGTGTGCTGGTGTGCTGCGTCTCTGCTCTTCCCTGCCTGGAGCCGTCAAGTCGCGTCAAGAGCATCAACTCGCCCGTTCACTGCAATGCCCAGAGCCCTAATCCTTGAGGCCGATCACACAAAGGGGAACAAAGCCTCTGCAGCGGACCAGCTCTAACCCCGCTGGTAAATCGCCCACTTCAAGGCTGGACCAATAAACTTCCGTGCACTTTGGGCGCCCAAGACACACTCCGAAGCTGACGCCACATGTTCAAGCTCGCATGCTGGACGATTGTGTGGGCTTCCTCCGCTGGCTGCAACAACTCGAGGAAGATCTGCCGAGTTCGCGAGGTGCAGGTGGGACGGGGGAGAGGGAAGCGAAAGGATTGGGAATCTCGGTGAGCACTCTTCCTCTTGGTGCGTCCCAGAGATTCTTTCTGCCCTGGCTGGGCATACACCTTCGGGAAAGTCTGGTTGTTCTACAAAGGCCAATCCTGAGGTGCTAAGCCCTGAGCCTTCCATGAACTAAAGACAACCAGGGGACCTTTGAAGCCTGGGCTTCCGCGTGCAGCCCACGGTTAGGGTTTACGCGCTCACAACTCGGACATGCACGGCTTTTTCCCTCCCACATAGCAAGGACGAGCCCGCATTGCAGGGTTCGAGTTCAGAACAGAGTGCATTACAACGGTGGGATCACTGACATGCACGGTTAGGGTTTTTTCCCTCTCGCATGGCTGAGGATCTATGCCCACTAGCGAGGTTTGGTAGAGACATTCAGGAAAGCAAAGTCTATGCTGGACGATGTAGATCAGGTCCACGATGAGCCTAGCATTTAGGGAAATGGTTTAGGAGAAACATGGGATAACATACCGATCGCGTGGATTGCCTGCCGCCTGTTGCAAGCCGAGAATTTTAATCAACGTGTCGTGCTTGGGGCTTGGTGGTCACCGTTGGAGGAACGTAGCAACATCTACTTATGGGTTGTCGCTGACAGAGACTTGACCTTGCAAGCGCACAAAACTAGCAGGAAGCGTGCGGCAGGCTGTGCAGTTAGCACTCTTACCTGCGCAACCACGGTTGGAACACTGGCTGAGTGACGAAGTGATAGATGCCCTACTAGAGCCCTTCTGTCTTGCCCTTCCTGGACTGTTCCACGCACAAGTGCGCGATTCCAGGACAGGCCTCCGCAGGTTCCGGACACTCACTTGGTGAAGCTGGTGTCGACCTTGTCCCTATAAGCCTTCATGTCTTTGTGGCCTGCATGCTGCTGCATGCCCGTGAGGACTTCCTGAAGGCCTTTCACCTCATACAATGTCTGCATCTCTGCGTCAGTGAGGCGAGGTAGCTCTGACCAGTTGATGTCTTTGCCGCAGCCCCTGTGCTTGCCTGAGCTGGACGCACTCTTTGTGCTCGAGCGCCGATCACAAGCGTTGTTCCTGAGAAGCATGCGGCGGCCATCCGCCAACATCTCGAATGAGTACTTGTACCACGGCTTGTCAGACACATCCTGAGATTTCTCTCGATTCCCGCATTGTGTGACTCCGTTGCAACCGGAGACCTTCACCCAAACTTCATCACAATGCACGCACTTGCGAACAAAGTTCCTCCAATCCTTGGCATCATCAGGATTGTAAGACATGTACTCCTTTGCCTTCGTTGTGAAGGAACGCTGCTTCATATCAATGGCCTTCTGCAGTTGAATCGATTGTGTATAGCAGTCCATGTCAATCATGTTGGAACCATGCTCCTGGTTAAACTGCTCGTAAACCTTGTCGACATCGTAGCGGCACGCAGCAATGGCACTCAGTATGATCTCATCCCTGTCAGGCTCTTGGCACACAGTCGGCACGAGATCCACATAGGAGCTGATGATGGAATCAATCTCCTCGATGTGCTTTTGGACCGCTTTCTTTTGGGCGCGAGTCTCATCCGCAACACGGAAGAACTTCAAGAACTCCTGATCTGTGTACTGAAGTGTTTTTGGATGCTGGGCCTTCATGAACTCGATCATTGCGACAGCTACTTCCCGCGCGCTCTGGTTGCTGGAATAGAACATAAGTCTAGGGAACCCTTCTGATCGAAATGCCTCCTTGTAGTCCTCCTGAATCTGTGTTACATGACGGGGTGGAGCATTGTCGAACTTGGCTATCACTACCACTACCATGTTGTGGTAGTCCGGCTTGAGAATGCGTATGGCTCTGTCAAACTCGTCAAGAGCGCTGTCGCAGCGGCTGTTGTACTCCACCATGACAAAGATTGCATTGACTGGGCCGTTCGTGAGAGCGGCATGCAGCAGA